TCAGGGGCTTTTTTCTGGGGCTTTAGCCAGTACCAGAACAACTGTCGGCTATTTGAGTACTAGCGGAAACAGGTTTAATATAAATGGTAACAGGTATAGTAAGTTTTCCCGGGATGCAGCCTAATAATGTACATGTCCCGTGATATGATATCCTAAGTTATACAGAATAATGTCAACACCAACTTTACTCAAACTCTATGCAAACACATACACATATTCACAAACACACAAACATCGTTTTCTCATTTGACAGTTCAGGTATCTTCCGCTTTAACTTTAGCATTACTCGAGTTCTGGATTTTGACTGATCCTGACAATCGGTCTGTCTTGGACTGATTGCTGCATGAAGTGGCGGAGAATACAAAGAAATGACTAAAAGTGAAACTCGTACGTAGAGATCTAGCAACAACAAGCGGGAACTATTTTTGTGTGAGCAAGAGTAACGATTACGTTTCAAAAGAGTTTAGAAACTGAAGGCTTTGATTACGCATCTTGCCAGTTTACGTTGTGTACAAGAGCTTTCTCGGCTGCAATTAACCGTTTACGGTTCCATTAATGTATTACGGGTAACCATTTAAGGGATTTACTGTTTAATTCCTATATTGAGGTACAAAACTACAGTTTATATTATCACATATTGTCCGAACCTTAAAAAGATCACATTTTGACTTAACTGACGTGTCATTAAATCTCTGACCCTAATATCACAAGACTCCAAAATTTATGATTTTTTTTTATAAAAAATTGCTTTACTGAAATCAAAAGTATAAATACCAACGTTTAAAAAAAATATTTTTCTCCTTTAGATGATGAAGGATTGTGAAGTCCTGCAGTTTGAATCCTAGCCATGTATTTAAGGTTACATGATTGTGGGACCATATCCTGTATTTATAGGTTACTGCATTTTATGGGAAAATATGAACTAGTTTTTCGGATGGTTATACTGCACGACCTTGGGAGTGCATTATATCCATCCGGCAAAACGAGTTCATGTTTTCCTATACAAATGCAGTAACATTTTGTATTATATGCTCATTTTCTTATTCTTCCCAATGCTTAACTATATAAACAAAAATACACTACAATAAAGAAAGTAATCGAATGTATTCCGTTTTCCAAACTAAATATACAAGTGTAGCTGCATTATTACACAACATTATTAATCAGTGCGTATCTCTGCCCAGACAAATTTGAAGTTGGTCGCGCACTAGAAGTAAGTTTCGAAAGAAAATGCCGTTTGGTTGACTTAAACTTGAAATTTGGTGTGATATTGTTAACGACTACGCATTGTAACAACTTTTCCATTTGAGCTGGAATGAATACATTTTGGTATTTTCGTCGATTCCATGCAATTTTGTCATTATGGTCTGGATTTATTTACATGAAGTAATTTACATTGGAATAGAGTAGCGCCTGCCAATTTAATCGTATTGAAATGGGTTGACATTGGCACGCGTGTTTTTATTCTGTCATTGAATAATTCAGATCATAATGTGGGAAAATTATGAAGCCTTTTAATTGCAATTATCGAAAAGACGCTGTGGAATTTTATGTTTATTTAATTTTAAGCGCAGTAAGAAGGATGTAAGAGCACTTGGAATATACTCCAAATTACAGAACAATTTCGAAATGTATAATCAACCTTGAAAACCCATGACATGGCTTATGTAATTCAGATTTGCTGAACTACGAAAGTGTCTTTTGAGGAAATTCAGGATGTAAAATTGTAAGTATATTTTTGCCATTTTTATTAACAACTAAAGAAGTCAGTTTATGTGTATAACTTGCGTTGTTTTGTGAGCACCATGTACGTCGTCTATAGCTAGCCTAAATCTGAAACATTATCTCATAAGTTAACGCGGAATGTGCCAAAGCAGTTTGTATGTGTCAGTCGAAAAAAAACAACATTTGCTGGTATGTGGCAGTCCATGAAATATTTGCTTAAGTTTATTCATTAAAAAAATTGTTTACGTTAGAAAATAGCTCTATTTCTTCCCTTACATATAGTATGAATGTGGCACGAGAAGTACAATATCGGGAAAAACTGAACGATTCTCACAATGTAAAGTTAACGGAAAAACAAATGATCATATAATAGTATCCAGTCTTTATGATCTCAGGCTTCATTTTCAAGCTCAAATTCCTCAAATGTTTTCATTTTGTAACTTGATGAAGGATCTTTGGAAGATGGTTTCTCTCTCCTTGTTTATTATTATATTTGGATGAAATTGTTATAGTTCAGTTAAAATGGTTGATATTGTGATCTTAACACGAGTATGTGTTCGTGGTTCAAATTTCAAATACAGAGCTATTAAAACTTAAAGCAAAGAATTTTAGTTAATTGATACATCTTATCTTAATTAAAATCAAATAGGATACCGGTATTAATGTCAGTTGTACTTTTGAAATCTTGTTAATCATGATTACAACACGTCAATAATCCTTCGATATAAGGTCAACAGGATTACTACACATTTACTGTTGCATACGGTAACTTTTATTCAGCAACTAAAGAGTATTTTGTCAACATTGTGTCCTGCACACAATGGTAATGCCCCCAACCCCGTTACATCAATTACTAGTTCCATAATTAGCTTGTAATTAGCTGCAAATATTGCATAGGGCAGACAGTTCCGACTGGTTTTCCAGCCACTGGGGTGTAAATGTAATAATCTCTTGAAAGAAAGAAGCCTTGATGCCAAAAAATGACTCATCTTGGATCAGAATATATTCCAAAATCGTCATCAACTGGCGGCTAATAATCTCATTGTTTATGCAGTTTTATTGCTAAACTTGGATTTAGGCCATATCCCTGTATTTGGGGGAAAAAAAATCGAATTTGCTAAGATAGAGAGAGATAGGTTATCCCAAACTCTTGCTTTTTTATGCAAGCAATATTCCCCCCCCTGCTGAATATATTTATTGTGAGTTCACAATTTCCAGATATAGTGGCATTTAAAAAAGGTAACAAAAATAATCAAAATACGTTGCCTTTAGCTTGAAAAAAAAAAAATAAAATAATTATAGTGTATTTGGGTTAATTGTTTATCAACAAAGGCTTAGGATATGAAATAGTACTGTACTGATAAATCAATTTGACTGCCATGGATATATTTCGTAAACTACAACTGATTTAGGTTACTGTGCCCATCTAGACGGTCATTTGAATAAAGAAAAACTGGTATCCTGCAGAAAGAAAATTTGAAATATTTTTCCTGTACTTGAGAACTTCAGGAAAAAAGTTATGTGTTTTTCCTAATATCTTCTCTTTCTTCCCCTTATGTTTTTGTTCAATATTTCTGTCATTTTGTAAAATTACACACATTCTTTTTGTTTACATTTTGAATGACTGAAACAAATAAATAACTGAGTTTATCATTTGTAACATAACTTTATTTCAAGCTCATAAATGCATGCATACATACATACATACATACATACATACATACATACATACATACATACATACATACATACATACATACATACATACATACATACATACATACATACATACATACATACATACATACATACATACATACATACATACATACAAGTACGTACGTACGTACATACATACATACATACATACATACATACATACATACATACATACATACATACATACATACATACATACATACATACATACATACATACATACATACATACATACATACATACATACATACATACATACATACATACATACATACATACATACATACATACAAGTGGATTCAAACATCGACTGATGTCTCCATCAATCACTAAAAAAGTTTTGCTGATACATGAATGAAAATAGTTTTTCATTTTCAATAAGTTTCCAAACGTTAACCGATTGATATAATCGTCGGTTGATTCAGTCCTAATATAAACAAATTACAGACGGTACCACAAGTTCAGACAAAGTCTCGTAGTCACGAAACATTTTTGAGAACAAAAAAAAATCAACTCGTGTTCCATGTGAGGTTTGCAACAGGAAAACTGCGGTGTTATCTTATTGCATACATACCTGCTTGCAGACTAACTATCAAAAGTCTCTGAAGACAAAGCGCTTTTGAAGTTCCAAATTCTGAGACTTGAAGAAATCGTAGTGCTCAACACTTTTGTCATGGTAACGATGTCATGTCTCTTAGTAATAAGAACTGATTACAAAATTCGAACTCTGGCTGAAACGTCATAAAGTTTGATCTTGTATCGATTCACTCACAGAAAGGTTATAATCACAAAAAATGTAATGATAGTCAAATTGCGTTTATTGCGTTTCTACATGTGAGCCAATTTTCATCGCGACTGGGTAGCACTAATATTTAAATTTGAAAATTTGTGTTTAAGCTTAAAGTTTGTGCTCGGGCAATTACATGACTGAAGCGACCACGATCTGTTAATAATTCATGCCAGAACTATGTATCATAGAAAAGAATCTCATCCGCTAAATGTTTGAGAGGAGTCAGTGTGGTTTGGAAAGCTTCTTTTCTGAATTAGGGGAATAAATTTATGAATGGTGACTAATATCTACATGCTCTTATCTGTGTCTCAAGTTGATTTACGAAATTCTCAATAAAAACTCAACAAACTGTGATGCATTAAAGTACATCATAAATCTTATCTTTCAATACAGTAAACCTGTGTAATGCTGTTAGACTGGAATTTAAAAGTATAGTCACGTGAACATTTATCAGTATATATCTGTTGTCCTTTGGGGACAAATACAAGTGAAGTAAAACCTGTTTATAAGTGTGTGTGTGTGTGTGTGTGTGTGTGTGTGTGTGTGTGTGTGTGTGTGTGTGTGTGTGATATGAATTTTTAACCTAGCTTTAAAAAAAATTTCAGTCATATCGCTACGATGTCTGCAGTGTGATAGTTTACAGTGATGTCTAGCACTGAAACATCATTCATGCTGCAGACATGTAGCATGATGTCCAGCCCAGTCACATTATCCTTACACGATGCCTCCCAGTCGCAGCACTAACCTCTTAATGATGAGCGCCTGGTGATTTTTGGTATGACTCCGGGATTCGAACCCGCGACCTCCAGCATCCGAGGCGGATGTTTTAACCACATATAAGGGACACTAAAAAATCCAACAATCGTTGTCTTTTTGGATCTTATGCTACTTTTTCAGGCAAAGTGCGTCTGTAGAAAAAAAGAACATTGCTCCTAAACTGATATCCCGTATGAAATTGATTTTTCTTGTAAATAGAAACAGAACAAGAATTTGCATTATATTATTGTCTTTTTTACACGGGGTTGTACGTGCTTTGCATATTGTATTGCTCTGTGCGTTCAGACATTAACCAAATACATGTGACCTATTTTGCATTTCATAAATTTATCTTTGTAGTAGAGTGCTTGCTAAAGATTGTTTAGAAGTTTGAGGAAATTATTTGCATACCGAAGTGATCTTGCACTATGGTAGACAATACTCTTGTCCTCAACATAAAACTCAAAGTATACTTTGTTTTCTATATTTGTGTTGTTGAACAAGTTGTAAGAAATCACAAGTGTTGATTGCATACTTGTATCACCTGGGAACAAACCACCATGAGTAGCTACTATATGCAAAACAAACATAGATAAAATATTTTAATCATTTGTCGTGTCTATTTCAAATAAAAGAGTATTATTCAGTTTGATACAGTTCAAGGGGGTACATTTTTTAATACTCCCTCCAAAACTATGATTAGTATAGTTATACCGTGTTACATATATCTTTCCACATCATTACCGTCTGTATTCGCTTATAAGCCGAGTCAAACTACAAACTACAAAGATTCTGACCTGCCGTAGCATAATGCGCCTATAGATCAGGATATATGTTGTTGTTGTTCTACTGATTACTACGAACAAACTGTAAAGACTCAAATGTGTTGTTCATGTTAGACGTATCTTTTTCCGACTAAATTTAATTCAGTTATGAGCCCTTCTAATGGTTTGACGTCTGGACAACGGTTTGTAACTTGTAGGACAATGTTGTTGGTTTTAGAAGAAATAGCCGACTAATACAAATTTATATTATCTATGCGGCAACATTTAGAGAAGAGAAAAATATTTCGTTTTTTTTTTCTCGATTAGATGACATCATGCCTTGACCTCTGTAACTCGTATTTTCAACATAAATGTGTTTTGAGTAAATTGAGCAGGGTTGTAGAATCAAATTTTCATGGCTAATTTAAAAGTACCAAAGGCCATGTTGCAAAGAATGTGACTAAATTGTTCGTTGATATAGTTCGCATTAGCTATATACATATTTAAGTTCGAAAACATATAGTATAACATGAACCATCATTAAGTCTGACTTTTTAAGATGTAACATCTTCACGTTTTGTGAACTATCGTCAGTCTTTGCACATAAAGTTAGATTAGAACAATGAAGACCCCCATGCGAACACAGCGCTTTCATCTATCAAGTACAATGTCGCAAGAGCAGCATTCAACTTGACGAAGCGTCAAGACGTTGATATTGGTGTCTAATGGCAACCTGATGCGCTCCTAAATGTTTGATAATCTTGCCTTGGATACCTAAGACATAAGTGTCATTAATTTATCATCATTATCTGGCATGGTCAATGTCTTTTAAATATCCTGGATAACTTCGGCATTGATTTTTTATTCTATGTGGCTATAGGTCTCAAATCATAAGATGAACAACGTTTATGCAAAAATTGTAGAATGTTATAGGGTAGTAGGTGTTGTTATCGCTATCTTGAGGAAGATCGACCTCGGTATTATCGCCTAATCGAGTAAATAATAAAAGTATGATATAATTAATAGAGACATATAATAGAACAACACGAGCATCCGTATATAAAATACAAGAATATTATCAACTGAATAAACAAAAAAATGTACAAGATAATTGAAGGATAAAGTATTACTAAAATTTTTTTACCAAAAGTCATTTTTATATTTAAAAAAAAAATGCAATTTGCGTTTCATATTATACAGATATGACAAATTTAATCGAGAGAGTGTTCGAACTTGATTGTCCAGCATGTCTACATAACTTGATGACTCGTTGCGGGCCACTACAGATTCAGTAGCGGTCATAGATATTATTTCTTACTTTTTATATGATGCTGCCTACAATGACAACCCCTCCTCGCATCCAGCCTTTTGTTGGTCATTATCGGCAAGATAGACTGTCTTCCTTCTACCGTATCCCTGTGGAGCTAGTTCCATTGTAAATTAGAGAAATATGCAACCAAAAGTAGTTTGTTGGGTCATTACTTCTTGGATAGACCATCATCTCCTCTCTCATTCCCTCAGATGTCATTAAATTATATTTCAAACAGACATGAACTGCTAATATGGTTTCAGGTCGCAACCTGGCGGTATATCATATAAATTTTAGCGCGGTTCCTTGCAAGGACAAAACAGTACAGGAAGAGTAACATATTTCACTACAGAGCTAGCTTCCGTTAAAAATTGATCAAAAGCATAATCTGTTCTCGCAGTATACAAAAAAACCCTTACAGTGTGAACTATAAATCACTATCTAGACTAAGTCGGCCACATGTGTACTTACGGTCGACAATAAAAGCAGTCGTCGTTGCTCCAATACGAATACAATCGACTCTCGGTTAAAATAATTCACATTTTAATTATAAAAATGAATTGAAATTTTCACTTCTTGTCTTAATTATATTGTTCGCTAACTCACTCCATTGGAATAAACATCGTACAGACCAAATAATAATCAGTTCCTAGCAAACGTGAAAGGAATAACATATAAATGAATAAATTAAAGCAAGTATCTCAAAACTCCTATAAAAAAATAATGTATAAAATTCCTAGAATGCATGAGTCATATAAAATACAAGGTAAGAGAATTCAACAATTACCTTAAGATTCATATTAAAGAAAAATGGTATGAAACTAAATTGATAAATTCAAACAATTATCTTCAGATTCCTGTAAAAGAAAAATTGCATACAACTTAGATACGATATCTTGCTCTTTTTTCCTCTTTATAGAATCGTCTCTCGAGACTTCTAATGCACGTCTTTTGTACATTTTTACTAGAAACATATTCACTACTTTCCCAAGAGTCACGACTTCTCGCCTCCAGCAGAAAATTTAGACCAACAAATTTGTTTGCGTAAAACATTTATAAACACGAAACTTCGTATGGAAATATATTCATAAGTGTTCCCATAACTCTCTAGTATCTATCTCCCTCAACCACGTAATGTGTACTGCGACGACTTGGCAATGTAGCCACACACTGGCCAATCAGGATCTTATGTTTATTTAACCGCCAAAATTAGTAAACCGAAGTTTTCAACTTGTGAAAAATATTTCATCAAGTACAAACGCTGTTTCCGTTCGATTTCAACCTTTGGCATTCTCGACAAGCAACAAAAGCTTCAACAGTCAACTTGACACAGTAACTGGACCCCATTAAGAATCAGTCATATCCTCTACCGACAAATTAGTGTACCGTATCTTTGCCACGGGTCATGAGTTCAATTCCGTGTCACATCGCATACATTAACTTAATACTGGTATGTGCAGGGCCGTGGGCGTCATTTATGAGCTCTTGGAAAAATCCTCCAATAGACTCATGTGAATTATATTTAAAAAATTCTTCGACGGTGAACCCCTGACTGTTGTGGGCCTCCAAAATTTTGTCCTAGTTGTCCGTCCTACTTTGGTATTGAGTCACAATGAGAGGTGCACTTTACTTGAATCATCAGTAATATTCACACTCTTACATAGATTAAGAAAGATATACGCTTAGACACCCGTGCACCCTTCCCTCCTTTTGACTCTCAAGCAAAGTCGTTTTCGCTTGAAAATGTGTACATTCTATTTCAGGATGGGTGTACAAGCGAGACATGCAATTAATGGAAATTTCTTCACTTCAATTTTTATATGTCATATTAGCATTTACATTTTAGATTACACTCATTGGGCCAATGCCGAGAATCTCGGTCTGTATTTTGTATGTATATATTGAATGTGAGTGTGTATGTATGTATGTATGTATGTATGTATGTATGTATGTATGTATGTATGTATGTATGTATGTATGTATGTATGTATGTATGTATGTATGTATGTATGTATGTATGTATGTATGTATGTATGTATGTATGTATGTATGTATGTATGTATGCATGCATGCATGCAAGTAGGTAAGTAGGTAGGTAGGTAGGTAGGTAGGTAGTTAGGTAGGCTGTATCATTTACGACACCGCAGCACAATAGTGGTTATATGACGTAAACTAAAGTTCATAGTTCAAATGTATATATATATATATATATATATATATATATATATATATATATATATATATATATATATATATATATATATATATATATATATATATATATATATATATATATAATGACAAATATAAACCCCTCCAAAATAAATGTAAACATGAAGTAAACCAATATTTGTGTAAAGGAGCAATTTTTATGTCGATCTCTGTAGGAATTCTTTAGTAGGACACGTGTACGAATAATTAGATTTATGGAGACCTGCGAGTGTTGCAATCGCCATAATGCACCGATTGGTACAGGCTCTGTCATGAGTTTAGCGATATTTAATTAAGGGCAACGGTTTTTAAAACTGAAAAAGTCCTGGGTTGATTTTCTAACTGTAGCAGAGTTGTCACATTGGAAATATTGCAGAGAATAGCAGTCGATAAGCTAGTTGTCAGACGAACTGCATTGTTTAAGCCCAGTTCAGACGGGAATATATTTCATCCAGATTGGATACTCTATGAAAAAGTGCGTGTCATCACACGAAAATTCTGTTTAAATGTGCTAATAGTAAAATCTGAAATTAGTCTACACTTATTACAAGAGAAAACGAACGTAAAAAGACTCCGAGTAATTTAAGAAGTAAATTTACTCGTAAAATCGTCCAGTGGAGACGATTGTCTGGAGAAATTGACAGACACGAAAGCTTGAAAATACTAAGTGAGATAGCTGTAGGAGGTCTCACATATTTACAAAAACCAAAAGAGGCTACACAAAGTTAGAAGGGCCGAAAGTGGCGTGATACCGGAGAATTTTGAAAAGGAAGAGAAAAATGGAGAAGACCAGGACTTACCAGCACAAAGTAGTCA